ACTTGCTGGGTCGATCCCTCACATGATCGTCTTGCTGGGTTGATCTCCCCTTTGATCGACTTGCGGGTCGATCTCCCCCATGATCGACTTGCGGGTCGATCTCCCCCATGATCGACTTGCTGGCTCGATTCCCCACTCGATCGACTTGTGGGTCGATCTTCCCCATGATCGAGTTGCTGGGTCGATCCCCACTTTATCGACTTGCTGGGCCGATCTCCCACTTGATCGACTTGCTGTGTCGACCACCCACATGATCGACTTGCTGGGTCGATACCCCACTTGATCCACTGGCTGGGTTGATCCCCCACATGATTGACTTGCTGGGTCGATCCCCACATGATCGACTTTGTTTCGATCTCCCACTTGATCGTCTTATTGGGTCGATCCTTTACTTGATCGACGTGCTGGATCGATCCATTACTTGAACGACGTGCTGTGTCGATCTCTCACTTGGTCGATTTCTGGGTTGATATTCCACATATGGATTATGGTTGACTTAACAAGTATCATAGTATGCTTACTAGGAATTACGGTAGGCTTAAAAAGGATCACTGTTGTTTCAACAGGGATATTGGTTGACTCAACAAGAATTTGGTTGGCTCAAAAGAATATTGATTGGTTTAACGTGGATTATAGTTGGCTCAACTAGGGTCATAGTAAGATTAACATGGATCATGGTTGGTTTATCAAGGATATTGATTGGCTCAACATGGATATATGTTGGCTCTACAAGGATATAGGTTGGCTCAACAAGAATTTTCGTTTTCTCAACAAGGATTTTGGTTGGCTCAACAAGAAACCTAGTTGTCCTACAAGGGTATTGATTGGTTTAAAAAGGATCATGGTTGGCTTAACAAGAATATTGGATGGCTTAACAAGGATATTGGTTGGTTAAAGAGGATATTGATTCGCTCAAAATGGTTATTGTTTGGCTCAACAAGGATATTGATTGGCTCAACCAGGATATTTGTTGTCTCAACTAATATATTGGTTGGCTCAAGAAGGATCATATTTGGCTTAACAAGAATAATGTTTGTCTGAATAATGATTTTGATTGG